GTTCTGTTCTGTTCTGTTCTGTTCTGTTCTGTTCTGTTTTTAACCTTATTTCTATTGACGAGTTTTCGCAATTAAATCTAAATTACTTCAATAAATGAAACCTAATTTTTCTAAAATCCCCATCCAATTTATAAGATCCACTCTAAATACACGAGAGTGGTCGTAATAGCACCGAAGAAAAAGAGTCCACACTTTCTAAACTAATTATTTCCGTGCCTAAGGAAAAGCATAATAATCTAAATGGCGTTATTGAATTTTATTTTTAAATAAGTGTTATTTTATTGGCGACAGTTGCGAGAACTAACAAAAACCTTTCTTCTCATATTAAAAACATTTTCGTTCAAAAATGGATGAAACTGAATTGCTCTGAATTTGAAATTCTGCTCTTCAAAGTAGTTGCGGATTCTGGCGGGCTTGGTTTGGATAGGGGTTGAAAAATTAGGAAGAATATAGGGAACGTAAAACCTAAATGAACTGAAGAAGCTAGAAAACAGAACTAGAAAACAGCCATCCCCTTCGAATCGTTTGATTATAATTTATCCGCCACAGCTCTTTCTTACTCTCTCAGTGCAGTCTCTCTCTCTCTCTGTCTGATCTCTATCAAGTAGATAGAGATCAAGGGCTCCCCTGCACAGAGAAGACAAAGGTAGATGTTTTTTGTCTGTAGTTGAAAATACTAGCATGCCTTGATTTCATAAACTTTTCTAGTAAATGTGTAGTAAATCGACCAGGACAAGGACAAGGACAACGACAACGACAACGACAACGACAAGAGACGAAATAAGTTAATGAATGAAAAACTTTACTCTAATAATGTATTTTGAAAACGGTTTCTTAGGTTTTGAAAAGCCTTCGAAAACAACTCACTCACATACACAGTGGCGGATCTAGGGGTGGGTTTTGGGGGTTGCAACCCCCCTATGAGAGCCATCGTGATTTATTATTATTATTATATTTTCATGACAACACCAACAGCATCGCGAGTTTATTAAAACAGGGGTGCCGAACACATTTCGCTTGCTTTTTTTCTATACGCCGTGTGTGGGACTTGAAACAAGCATGCTCGCCTGCAGCAAATATTAATCATCATAGGACCTACTTCCGTTTGGGAACCCTGTGCTACTTTTCCGCCAAACAAGTACCTCAACCAATGCTCCACCTCCCCCCCCCCCAAATCCTGGATCCGCCCCTAATACAGCGGTTTTTAAATTCCCCTTTGAACTGTAAAAAGCTATTCCTCAAGAATTACTTTAATATTTAAATAAGAATGCATGCAGCAAGCACTTTAAGTTAGGATAAAAATCCCTTCTTGTCGCCCAATTACACGAACAGAATCTAACCAGCTTCACCTCTTTCACGAAGAGTCATATTTTAAAACATCTCAATAGTTACGTCGTAAAATAACTATTTATAAAAGGACCCTTACCTTTAGTGGAAACCGTCTGATGTTTGTTTAACTTTTTGAAGAACACTGTTGACAATTGATACAGCAGTGAAGTGGATATTCAATACTTGTGGAGTGATATTATAGGAGGTGATTCATTGGTGGATATATAATTACTAATTTTTAATTGGTTAAAGGATGGCAATGGGTCTTCGATCGTTTCGTGCGATCGCTAATTACCGGTGTGGGTCAAAAGTCAATAGTTATTTGTCATTACGTTATATATAATAGAAAAGAAAAGAAATATTTATTTCTTCATCCATCCATCCATCCATCCATCCATCCATCCATCCATGTATGTTCTAGTGCATTTTTTATTGATTTTTTTACTCTTTCGTATTACGGAGGACATTATCTTGATCTCGAATTTAAAAAATCATTAAATATTTAATTTTTGCGTTTTTGTTTTTCACCATTCACTTTAATCTAAATTGGGCTCCCTGTGGTCGAGCGAGCACTGATTCTGAAACGATGATCACCGTAGCGATGATTATGAGGTTTTCCAAAGTTTGCAATAGAGGAAGTAATATTTTTAAAAACGTGATTTTAATCCTGAATTTTGGCTTTTCTTTGATATTCAAGTCTAAAATTATACCAAAACAATTATTCCCCTCAGGCTAAGTGATTATCGGTAAACCGATAGGCACTGCCTTTGGCTAATGATTGTTAATTGGTAATGTGTGGTTAAGTGAAATGATGAAAATTAAACGTGTTTATGTCTGCCGCCGTTTGCGAGAAGAAAACACCTGCTTTATTGCCATCACGATCATGACGGAATAACGATAGGAATTTGCTCTTTAACAAGTGGATTATTGAGCTTATTATAGGAATAGATAGAAATTCAAAATATTATGACAAGCTCAGCTCGGGCGTAATGTGATGTCCCCTTGAAAAATGATACCTGAATGACGCACGTGGTCTGAAATGGGAAAACATTAATTACGCCCGAGCGGAGGAGGGCATAATATTTTAATTTCTATGCGCTGCAATTCAAATCCAGATGAATAAAGATTTCTCTCCAGCTATCAATCTCTCTTAATTATGCATCTACTTCTCTTCTATTTGGTTCCTATTTACCTCAAATCACACTAACGAATTACTGAGTTCGACATGGCATTTCTAAACTTTTCAGAATTGCATTTGCATAGTTCTAACTCTTCTCAATTGCCCTATTTCACTATGATGTAACTGATTGTTTATGTGGGGGATAGAATAGCCAAATCCAATAGAAAACATCAGAAAAAATCTGTTAACATTTGGTCAGCTACGATTTCAAGCTCACGCCCCCTCATGTGAGCCCATACAAACTATGTCTCAAAAACACGGTTTTTGGATAGGCAAAAAAACAGAAGTGAATTCAGTTAATTCAACTATTCACGGACTGTATTATATGGTTTAGATTGAATTCTATTGAAAAAAAACCACCATACTTTTTGAGTTGAATGTACGCTATTGCATGTATTTTACAAGAGAAAATGCATGACATAACTGGAGTCAAGCTAGAAAATCGTCTCTCCTTGAAATAAAACAGAACCTGTCAAAAAAACAGAAGTGGATTTGAAAACTCCGGGCTTTCAAGAACATTTTGGTATTTAATTCATAGGAATTTGTTAAAATTTAGAATCGTATTTTTGCTGATTTTATAAGCTCATACTATCTGTTGGGCTATACATTCGCCTCTTATGGTTTCTTAGGTTTCGTAACCTCGAAAACACGCTAACTACTAGTTAGCAAAAATAAAACAGAAGATTTACAGGGTCATTTAGGATATGTTGTGTCGCGCAGTTTACTTGTGCTATATAGCTTTACTTTTAGGAACAACCTTTTGCTTTGGAAAGAGAGGAAAAAGACCGAAAAGAGCAAATATTCCAAATATGGGCAATGTTTTCCACTGAATGACAACATCAACAGAATAAGATTGGTACTGATCACTAATCTCAAAAATTGGCCATAATTCCTAGAATGTTACGGGCCGCTTATCCTCGAATCAAGAAGTTGTTTGTCTTGTTATTCTAACTTCTGCTTTTTGCTTCTCGAAAAAAGTGAGGCAGCCCGCATATTCTAAAAATTACGGTATTTTTAAGGGTTGTGAATAAATAATCGAAATTTTAAGGTAATATTAGTTCTTCGCTCATAGGTTTCTAATCTAAAAAATATTAGTACTTATGTAAAAAATATATATATTGATAGGCCCGTAAAAAAGCTAAAACTCGTCGGACTGGCTCCAAATTGCGTACAGAGACAAAGAACAGCATACACGAACACACGAGCAAAATTTGGTAAGCCAACTGCAAAAATGACTAGCTTCCCTAATTCACAACTTAATCTTTTGTTGTTGTTGTTGTTGTTGTCGTGTGTTTCCCCCTTTCAGAATTGTAGACCTGAGTAAGTATAATCGAAATAAAAAATTACCCCCATTCATTTTTAAATCCCCCTAAATTTCAGGATCAAACGATAAATATCCCTCTCGGGCCCCGGATGAGTCATAATGAGTAACTGTGTTACCATAGGGATCGTTTTATTCCAACTTCCAACTGATCCAGTTATTAATCACTCTAATATCGAAACCTCTAGTATTTTCACAAGATATTCTAGAACATTGCGATGTTTAATACATAGAAAGTCTGATCCAAATGTAATACAATTCCATAACGTTCGTCCAGTTTTCGACCGTTTTAACCCAACGAACTTCTGGTGCAGAATGTATTTTTCCACGCATTTCGTGTTCTGTGAATCAGATCGAATATTGCGGTTTTTGGGTTGAGTTTCATTCATTCTTATGAATTCTTCATTTTGTACGTAACGCTTTATTTTGGAAAAGAGGGTGCAAATAGCTGCACAATGCTATAATATTTACGTACTTCCCGCCCAGCTTATTTTTATAATGTGTTTCCTAATATAGAGTTTCCTTCCTTTCCTCGCATTTCAACGTTCCCTCACACCGTCACATTCTTTGTGATTAAACATTTTTGATTTATCGATAGCGAATAAACTCTGTTCATATTTTTCAAATATCTTTATTATTCTTCTCTTTACCATTATCTAATCCTATTTTTTTCCACAAATTTTTTTGTTCAAATTCAACGGTAAATATGAATCGACGCTTCCAGGAGATCAGTAATGGAGCGCCAAGTTGTTCTATTCTTGTCAAGGTCAAGGTCACCACGTAGCCTTGCGTCCACAAATAATCCCAATTTATAAATTTAAAGAACGTTATGACCGTTTTAATTCTTTGGGTGCTTTTTTTCCGTTTCTAGCGGGATTTTCAAACGGCCCACTGATGATATGCGCATGACACAAAATGAGCAGATTGTTCTTTTGCTATATAACTGGAACTCCAGAACACTACCCAAATTAATCGTTGGCACACCCACAACAACCTCCAAGTGATTGCAAAGCAGGATTATCTTAAAAAGAGATAACCTCTCTATGGAGCTATATTGTTGAGGTAAACAGACGCAGCTACACACGTAACATGACACACTTGAGAGACACAAAGTGCGAACCACGAGAACCAACCAACACATCACAGAAACAAGCCACAGAAATCTCAGTCTGATAAACTACCACCGCTGACCCAGCAACCAAACCTACTTCAACCACTTAACATGCAATTCCATCAGCATCAGTCACCTGCACCACGACGGAACTTATAAAACAAGCAATTCAGAATTCGTTAAAATATTTCAATCTGGATCAAGCTCAACTCTTGGGCTGCTACTTTTACCTTAGTATAGACATTTTATGAAAAACAATTAAAGATTGCAGTACTTCGAATATTCTTAGGTAAGTAATGCGTTGTCATAATGAGAAAAGTCAATTGTAAGGCTTTTCCCCAGTGTGTATTCGGAGATGTTCCTGCACATGCGATTTAATTATGTGCAAATGCTTTGCCACAATAAGAACATTTGAATGGTTTTTCCCTGGTGTGGGTTCGGGCATGCCGTTTTATGTGTCATTCACCACAATTAGAACACTTCTCCCTGGTGTGTTTCCGTAGATGTGTGTGCATGTTTGAGTTCTGTGCAAATGCTTTGCCACAATAAGAACACTTCAATAGTTTCTCTCTGGTGTCTATTTGGACATGCTTTTTCAAATCCGATTTACGTAAAATTGCTTTGTCACAATAAGAACATTTGAATGGTTTTTCCCCTGTGTGTATTGGGAGATGTTGTTGCACATGTGAGTTCTGTGCAAATGCTTTGCCACAATGAGAACACTTTTATGGTTTCTGCCCGGTGTGTGTTCGGAGGTGTTGCTGCATATTTGAGTTCTGTGCAAATGCTTTGCCACAAGAACACTTAAATGGTTTTTCCCCGGTGTGTATTCGGATATGGCTTCTCAAATCCCATTTCTGTGTAAATGCTTTGTCACAATAAGAACACTTGAATGGTTTTTCCCCGGTGTGTATTTGGACATGCCTTTTTAAAGTCCATTTATTTGCGAATGATTTGCTGCAATGAGAACACTTAATTGATTTTTCCCCGGCGTGTATTCGGATATGACTGTACATATTTGAGTTTTGTGAAAATGCTTTGTCACAGTAAGAACACTTGAATGGCTTTTCCCCGGTGTGTATTCGGATATGGCTTCTCAAATCCCATTTATGAGCGAATGCTTTGTCACAATAAGAACACTTGAATGATTTTCCCCTGGTGTGTATTCGGACGTGGTGATACAGTTCTGTGCGCTGTTCAAAGGTATTGTCACAATGGCTACACTTTAATGGTTTTTCACCAGTATGTGTTTGGAAATGCACCTCCAAACGATATTGAGTTTTGCCACACAACGTACAAATGAAACTTTCTTGTTTCTTTTCGGTATTTTCTGAAAATGAGTCATTGTTTTCATGAAACATGCCTTCTTCGATGTTTGACCTCTCAGCCGGTTTTAACAACTTATACCTTTCAGCGATTCTTTGTTTCGCTGAATCTATTACACAGATTGGCTCGCTGCTATTTATTTTGTCTATTGTCTCATTACCTTTGTTACCTTCGTTGCAATAAGCGGTGGCTATCTCATAGCTTCCACAAAACAAACCATCTGTGTTTGAGCAGTCATCTTCCGTCCCGTCGTTTAGCTCGGACAACATATCTTCAACTTCCTTATAATACAAGTCATAAAGGTCTTGTTTTTCATCTTGATTTTGTTTTCCGTGTTGGTTTGGACATATGTCCGCATTTTCCAAGACCTTTATGTCGTCTTGATCAGATTGTACTGTAATATTACTGACAACCATATCGTCTATGTCGTCTAACTTGCTGCTGGTAGCAATACATGGAGCGTCAGATACTTCCAAATTTCCTTTCTTCTCATGTAGTGTTGCAGTCGTCTCTACTTTATTGGGAAAACGAATGTTATTCGAAAAGTCTGGACTTTTTGTGTGCTCATCATCAACATAATAATCATCTACGCGGATATCAACTTTTTTCGACCAATTTTCCTGAATATTTGATTTTTCATTTACCGTCAAAATGCAATCATTGTTAAAAACATAAGTTTTGGAAGGTATAATCGCACTGTAGGATGAATTCAACTGTAGAGACATGATGTACAGAGGGCTTTCCTTTATAAATCTGGGGGGAAAAGAAGGATATTACTAAACTAAGGGGTTCGTTTAAAGGGAACGAAGAAAAAAATGTACACCTTATTATGAAATGCAAAACTTGGCCGACCTTTACAAAGAAACAAATCAGTGCTAGCGACGGAGCAAGCAGGTACTAATAAAGAAACCAATTAATATAAGACAACCGTAGGTCAGGGAGGAGAACTCTAAGACAGTACTAAAATATAGAAGTGCAATAGGTAGTGTTTGACTTTACAGGTTTGAACTGAAGTGATCATACTAAAAATACATAATCATATGGTCCCAAAAACATCTCGAATGAAACAAGGAATGTACAGAAAAAAGGAACAACGAAACGAAAACAACACATAGAACACAGGAAGTCTATTATAAAATAAACTTAACGGCTAAAAACAATTATTAAGGGCTGTAGAAAGAAATTAAAAAGAAGCACGAAAAGCTCGCAAAGAGACTCTGCGATAAACTAGGAGAACCGAAGAAAACCCCAGAGAAAAGCATTGCACAAATACCACAAACGGAGTAAAACCATGCACAATAAGGGTTCGCCAAACGAATAAATAAATTATGTTGACTATGTTTTCTCAACATTTTCTAAATCGTTTGAAAATTTCCCAATAAAAAGTTCCGTGTACAGCTCGAACCTACCAATTTGACGTCCTATTGCAAACTAGTATAAATGGAAACTTTCAACAATCGTTCATTGACATTTTCTTCAATTCTATAAACCAAGCCTTAAAGTAAAGTTCCTAATGCATCTCCATGAATACGCTAAGAGTTTATGAGGACTTACCTGTTTATAAAAATCAACACTCCTTCAAGTCAGCTAGCTTAATCCATTTATTGTCTTTTGAAGAAAGTACCTCTTTTAAATTGCAATCCTTATTCTTTCTGATAGTCAAAATGGTTGCTAAGGCCGTACGTCAGTAAAGTTACCCTCTTTTACTCCGACGAAAGACTAACTTCCGAAGCGAGGAGGTTTAAGATTCCTTCTTATTCATTTGCTGATTCCAACCGTCGTCTTTTAAGCTTAAAATGGCATTGAAGGAAACGCTGTGTTTTGTAATGTCTATGTGGGGAATTGCCCATTCACCACGACCTAAGTCAACTCGTTATGTGTCTAGTCAACTCGAGTCAAGTAAATCAACTCGTCAAAATCTTTGTCAATCGACTCGTCTTTTCGAAAATTCAAGTCATGAATAAATTAATTAGACTTCAGTGTAATATTGATGTTTATATAGAATATATAATATAGTAGTTGTCATGACTTCATAATAGCAAAAGCTGACGCGGTTGGAAACGGCTAACTTGAGGGTTTCCAGATTGAGCTAATATAAGAGTGTTTTACGGTTCGAATACATTATACTTCTTCAATATTTAGGCGTTTGGTATTTGGCGCACATCAGTTACACCTGTAAATTAAAAAGAAAATATCACGCGCATGATTTAATACCAGCCTAATTCGTTTATGGAAGGTAGGGTGATTCTTAGCAGCATGATAAATAAAGACTCTAATATTGTATAATAAAAAAAAATTTGAGTTAATATAACGGTTTTTTAACGGTTCGAATAACTTGTACTTTTTCAGTATTTAGGCGTTTGGTACTTGGTGTAAATCAGTTACGTAGAGCTGTAATTAAAGAGAGCGTTTATGAAAGGTGCTTCTTAACAGCATGATAAATAAAGGCTTTTGTATTGGCTTTTGTGAAAAACTCAACTTCCTCCTTTTGTGAAAATCCAATGCAAAAATCCAACTTTTCTATTCGTTATCTTCCTTTTTCAAGTAGAAATTTGTTGTGATCTTTTTTATAGTGGGATGAAATAAATTCATTCTAGGTATACTGGTTTCCAATTATCAAGTTTATTGTCCACCAATACTCAATTTTTCGTTTGTGATTTTGGTCTCACTTGGTCGCGTGTGACTGGGAATCGCAGTAAGGACAAATCAACGCTATAAAAAAGACCTGAAAACTGGTTTAAAAAATGGTAGGCAAAATATAATCTTACTTTTACTTCTTTTACATAACGATCGATGTTTGGTATTCATATGAAGAATCTTGTTTTTATATGAACCGTATTTTACCTCAATGAAAATAGAAAAATAAATAATCCTGAGATGAAATTCCTCCGAAAATGTCTCGATAATACTTGAGTTGCGACCTACAAGTTACTTGTTTTTATTTCAATGATTTAGCTTTGTTTGCCTCTTCCAAATGGAGCACAAATTAACTATTTTGTTATGACTTTAACACTTGAACTTCTTCATGTTGCCATGCAGGGCTTCGAATTCCTCCTATTTATATTTATTTTTGAACCAAAACTTTCCAGTGCTTACTCGTAAGAATAAGTAGTTTTGAAGCTTCTTTGCACAGTTTTTGATTTGAATGTCGTCAACTCAAAAACCAGTTTTTATCGGTTGTTTGATTTCGTGACCCTGTCGCAGGTTTTGATTGGCTAGCAGACAAAATATAGTAAAACTGGTTTTCCTTGGAATCGTGATCGACCTTGCATCATCTGCAAAGAACTGCAGAGTGATGACTGAATCGTTGAAAAGCAGCTGCAAAACGAAGCGTTTTTAATGCTTAAAAGCTACGTAAATCATAAAATTGAACCCGACATATACCGGGAGCAAAAAAAAAGGCCTTATCATTTGAAAAGGAAGACCTTTGTTTACTTTGTATTGGTTCTTTTGAAAAATTCAACCTGCTTCTTTTGTGAAAAATCTAACTTCCTCCTCTTATGAAAAAATTTAACTTCCTCCTCAGTTTTGTGAAAAAATCCAGCCTTCTCTTTTATAAAACATATAACTTTTCCTTTCGTAAAAAATTCAACTTCTACTTTGTGATAAATCTAGCTTTCCCTTTTGAGAAAAAAAAAACAACTTTCCGTTTCGAGAAAAAAATTCACTCTCTACTCTTCTGACATAGAAATCTATATTTATTTCTTCACTTCTTTCATGTCACTATTTTATAGTGCGATAAAATACAAAATATATTAATTTAAAATACAATAAATGAAAATGGTTTCCAATTTTTAAAATTTCAGAATCACATAAAGATTGGAAGTTTTATTATAAAATTGCCATTTTCAATTCCAAATGCTTACGTTTTATGCTACGGACGTAGTTTTCATAGCTCTTATTAACCGAGTGCGAGGTCCGTACCGTAAGTTATGGACCGAGTTTTTTCCACTGCCTTATGGCCCAAGCGCGTAGCGCGCGGGCCATAAAAAAGTGGAAAAAACGAGGATCCATAACTTACGGTACGGACCGAGCAAACGAGGTTAATAAGATATTTATTATATGGCAAGGCATTGAGATCAAAAAGAGGCGAAGCAACAAAAAGTAAAGTTGACAGCGCATGTCAAACGAGAACTGCATTGGAAAGGCTTCCTGTACGTGCCAAAAGTCATGTAGTGTTTGAGTCGCTCAAAAGCCGAAGTTTTAGTTTACTTTGAAAGAATTTAGCTAAAGTTTAAAGTTTTCTGAAATACTAGTTAACAAAAGTGAGGCTTTATTTTGCAAAACATATAAATGCAAAGCAAAAAAGGCATCAAAAGAAGACCTCAAGAACTCAACATGAGATTGAGAAGAAAACTGTCGTACTTCAAACTGCAAGATATTCACAACCAAGATGAAAAATACTACAGCCTTCCGCTTGTTTTCCCGTCTTTTATTGAGAAAAAAACTCAAAAACTGTCTCCAGAAATGAATGAGAAGCTTTGGAAAATTACGGCTGGCTGAACATGGATAGTTTTCGTTAATTTTCAACGTTTTGACTGTTTGAAGCAGGCCGCCATATGTACAATGGCTGAAGTCATGAAGAAGGCACACTTTCGACTCAATTAAAAAAGGTACTGCCAACTCTCCTGTCTAAAAATACATTCAAATTCAAGTGGGGGTGAAATATTACTGAAATATGGACATGCTTCAAGAGCGGATGAGCCTAGAAAACTGCTTAAAACGTTTACGACAGAAACTACTGGCTTCTTCACCCGATCGATTCAGATAAGTTCAAACTGGACGTTGTTAGCTCACTGAAATAACAAATTTACGTTAATTCTACTCGTAAACCTATCTTTATTTCATTTACTGAATTAGCCGCTGTTCACCACCCTTTAGATCGTAGTTTGACATAGTTTTAGCTTTAGCATAGTTAGTTTTTCTAGTTTTTTTCTAGTCGTACAAAATCGCTCAACTAGTGCCGTGTAGAGCCTTGATATAAAAGAGTTTCGCTTGTATGAAAGAGTTGTCGCTTGTTTGATAAGTTTTACATTAAATGCCAGTGACTTTCAGTTATCTCTAATTATTTATTGAAGGTTTTCCGACGATTTTCATCCACAAATATATTTTTTTTGATAAAGATTTGAATGTTTTAAAAGATCATAAGTACGTAGACTCAGTGAACCATTTCATTTTTCGGTCCGTACCGTAAGTTATGGACCGCAAATTGACCAATAATAGCGCGTGAAATTACCTTGCCATATAATAAAGAACTTTATTTAATCCCATTACATAGTTCTTTTTCTCTGCTTCTCTTGCATGTAGTTTTCTTAAATTATTTCAAAAATAAAAACGTAAAACTTGGAAAAAACTAAGCTTCCGGGTCTTTTTACTGCTTGGCCGCCATTTTGAATTCGAAGTTCTGCGTCCTTAGCCTCGTTATGATGACTCACACTAAATTTGCTCATAGTATTTAAGAGATATCTTTGGAAAACGCTATAAAGATGATCTGATACCGGTACCATGCCTTATCTTCAGGGCCTGTCATAAAACATTGCACGCAACTCCTCTCAGATATAATTATAAGTTTTACACTCTATCAGAATTAGGGCGATACCTAAGCACGCGAAGCATTTACGGCTATGCCCGAGATTTCGGCCCCAACATCGTCTGTTCTTCTTCTTTCTCCTTTTCAACCAAATAAAAAAGGTTGAACAATTTTACCCAGGGTTCTACACAACGG